TCAGGAAAATGGAGGCAAAGAAGTCGTTAAATATGTTGGCTTTGTTGTCTGGTGTGATGACCAAATTTCCTAGCATGTCTTGCAGGGATCCCATGTTACCCGGTACCTTCTTTTTGCCCCTGTGTATTTAAAAAAGGACTTCTTGTTGTCCTTGATCCGGGAAGCTAGTCCCAGTCCCATCTCCGCCTTGGCCTCCCTGACTGCCCCCCTGCAGCTTGCGTCAGGCAGAAAGCAAATCTCTCCTGTCCGCCACTGGGAATTCTTCTAGTCTCAGGTCCAGAGCACCCAATGCCATTTCCTGGGCCCCTGCCTGAGCTTTCCACAGCTCCATGCTTCCCTGGACAGACCTCTGGCCTGCACCATGCTGGGCCTGGCCTGGCACCAGCAGAGCTGCCCTCTGCCCCTCACTACCAGCCTCCCTGCTGCACCCAGGCCTCTTATTCACAGCACGGATGTAGCAGGGTGGCCACCAAACCTCACCCATCACCATGCAAATGATAGCCCCGCACCTGGGCAGTCCTCCTGCGAGAGGGTTGCAGCAGACCTGGTTCCACTTCTCTGGAGCTACTTTGGGCAGCACTTAAACTGCTGCATTACAGGGGCTTCCATGTGGGCCACCACAAACCCTGGTTCCTTCTGCATGGACCAGGTGGCTCACTCCGGACCCAGCATCCCCAGAGGGCTGAAACAGCTTTGTTGAGGGCCAAGCAATGCGGTGGCTCTGCTGTAGCTGGTTCCCACTTTGGGAGCGAGGCTGACACATGGTTGCCTACAGGAACTTCCAGGACACCTCGTTTCTGCAGGCTGGCCACAGCCATAGCCGAGAAGGCCCAGAGGCACTTCAGGCTGGTCTGAGCGGCAGACTCGCATACCACACGTGGATCCAAAACCACCACAAACAGCTCAGATGGGCTCTGGTGGGCTGCCATCAGTTCTGCCACTGACTTGCTGCCAGGCCTTGGGCCACTCCTTTCACTTTGCCTCACTCAGTGCCTTCGTCTGCAGGGAGGGCGCATGCTCCTCTGCCCGGCGAGATCCCCAGCAGACATGCACTGTCACAAAAGGCTGAACCCCCTCCCTCAGGTCCTGCCCCTGTAACAGACTGGCGCAGGATTGCTCCAAAATACTGGTAGCATCTACAGATCTGCATGGGGTAAGCTCTGAGCTACCACCTCTCCATGAGACAGGCCTGGAGGCAGCATCTGTGTTACCCAGGCAACACGATCTAAATGGGTCCCTCAACTATGGTCGAGTACGGCTCAACCTTAGGCATGGGGACCCTCACAGAAGCAGACTGTGGTAAGGACAGTAGCTTGGAGCTACACAAATAGGAGAGGCCCGTGATTATAATCAGCAGCGAAGCAGGAGGCTGTGGCATAGTTCACCAAGCATAAGGAAGGGCATGGGAACCTGAGATCTATACTTATTTCTACCCTAAGTCACTTCAACTGTGCCTCGGTTTCCCCATTTGTAAAGTGATCCATGGATGGAAAGTGTTATGTAAATGCAGGATGTGATTAAAGCCTCAAGACAGTGCAATCTGCTCACACAAGGGCTAGCACCTCTTCTCCTCTGGTAAGGGACAGCAGTTGCTTTAATGGAAGCCAACACGGCAGGTTGATGTCAGTCTACTTCACTGCAACCTGAGAGGGAAGTAAGGGTCCGTCTCAGGCCCCTGGAAACACTGCTGTGCTCTGCTATGGGCCTGCTTGTGAGATCTCACACCAGCTCGACCTCAGTCCCACTAGATGCTACTCGCATTGCCCCTTACACAGGAGCAGGAGCTGAAACCTCTGTGCACCTGGCAGGCCTGAGCTCTTAAAACACCAACAAACTATCAGCACTTAAGCCCAGCAGCTCCTTTGGCCAACATGAAAAGGAAACCATGTCTGGGATGCAACACGGCAACTGCTTAAAGAGTGATATTACACAAAGCACACGGGACAAAATTAGTAAAAAGAAAGAAACAGGTGAAGTCCAAGTCAGGAGGCAAAGCATCCTATGTAGAGAGAGCAGTGCAATGCTTGCAGAAAGGCCCGCAGCAAACAAGTGACATAACTGCTTCCCCATTTGGTGCTTTAAAACGCTAGACCAGCCTTTCAATTTATCCTCACCATAAAAAAAGAGCGTGCAGGCTCCATCTGCCCTGGTGCTTGCAGTGCACTTGCCTGTGCTGGAGGCAATGTGGTTTTCAGGCCAGCCCTGATGCAGCACTGTGTGCACCACACCCTGCAAGCCCATCTGACTAGAGCGCTGCTTTTGGTATGTGACTCAGTCAGTGTCTGAGCATCCTGCTCTCCAATCTGGCAAATGCCAGTTATTTCCAGTGGAATTTTGAACCTTAGCCAAGACCAGAATAGCCCATGAGCACTGCATTTCCAGCCATCCGTTTCTCCCAGCAATTATCCACAGGCACAGTGTCCATCACAGTGACACTTACTGGATATTCTGTGACACACACACACCCTCCGCACACGCGCACACACGTACTTGCTACATGACTGTGAGGATGCAGAGGTAAGTGGTATTTCATGGATGGTACTTCCTTGGAAAACAGCCCTGTTCTCTAGCAATGAATAGGCATAGGCTTGGGAGCAAGGCGAAAGGGGGGAAAAAAAAAAGTCTTGGTTAGAAGGCATGTGAGACAAAAGCCAACTCAAGAACAAGACCCAGGCAGAGGCAAACTGTAGAAAATACGAGGCCACACCAGCTGGAGAAGTGGGATCGATTGTCACTTTAATCCACAGACTGCGGCATGCACTGTAAACATGATCGTTAGCCTGGGTTCTTTATCTGTGTTTATTTCTTCTTAAATATAAAAGTTACACATTTGAAATGTTTGCAGGAAGATGTCGCTATTGGGGCTGGGTTAGTGGTAAATATACACTGTAACATCTGGGGATGGCAGGAGAGGCTTGGGGACCGTGGAGCCGGCTGGGTCAGGTCACGCAGCGGACGTCCTGTGTCTGGCACCCATCCCTACACCTTTCCAAATATGGCTGCTGTCATCCTAGAAACATAGACGCTGGAGACAGTCCTTATTCGGCCTCTGCTTTGCTATTCAGTCAACGCTGTAGCAACCCTCAACTGAAGAAAAAAGAAGTCACTCTCAGGTCTCTGCTTGCAAGAGGAGGCTGGACCGACCACAAGAGCCGCCACCTTCTATCCCGCTCAGGCATCGGGCTTGCCAAACACAGCAAGCCGTGGTGTGAGCCCTCCACATGCAACGAAGCGCTTGGACTGCTGCTGACAGGGAACTGATATGTGACCTTACAGTACATGGGAGAACACTCCCGTGCCCGTTCTCTGTCCAGCTTTGCCTGCACTGTGGCTCTGGGTCACCCCAGGTCCTTTCGTGAACCTACAATTGAGAGAAAAGCAAGCAGGCTGAGGCTTACCCATGGGCGTCCCCTAAGAGCTGGACTTGCCTTCATGCCACGCAGCATGCCATTTACGGGATCCTGCAGACTGCCGCTAACCATCAGTTTCCCAGTCACTATTTGCAGAGAGCAGGGTGCAGCCAGGAAATCCACATGCCCACTTGTGCAATGGCAAGGAGGGCTTGCTTTTGCAGGGAGCTGGCTTAATGCGCACGGGCAGCTGTGATTTGTTCTGGTTTAGTTCCCAAAGGGTCTTCTCTGGTGTTCAGTGACAAGGCAGGATGTAGAAAACAATGCACACGTAGTGGGGAGGGTGCAACTAATGGAAAACACCGACACGTGCACCTGTGGGGCTGGTTTTAGGACAAGGTGCGTTCCTGCTGAAGTCAACTGGGTCCTTTTATTCCCTGTCACCTCTTCTCAGCAAGAGCTGCCTCAGACATCACGCCAGAGGGAACGCGACGTGCAGATGCATGTGTGAGGAGCTGAGCCAACGTGCTCTTGAAATGAAAGGACGATTTGAGCGACACTGCCACGCACGCATACAATACTGCTATGAATTACCTACACTCGTCTCTGCTCTGTAAAAATAAAGTGGTGTGTTTGGAGCCAGCCAGCAGAGGAGTCTGCATCAAACGCAGATCCTATTTGCCTTTTCAGACTTTTTTTTTTTTAAATAACTTATTTACAAAGAAAGAAAAAAAATCACTTCCTGCTTCAAAGGCTGTCAAACCTTTGGATGATTGCAAAGACTTTACTGTACGTGGCTTCCAGCTGAAATAATCAGATTAACTACCTAAGAATGAGCTCTTTAACCGTTTTTCTTTTGAAGTTAAGGGCACAGTTTCCATACTTGTTCTGCTAGTTTTTTCCACTTCAGGAGCTGTCTAGATCTAGCCAGGATTCATCTGTTGGCCTCTTACTCCTCTATATTCTCTTTACATCAAATGCAGCCACACACAAAGGATAAATCACGCTGTCCGTTCCTGCTCACTTGCCATGCTTGTTCTGAATGGCCTTTGGACACAGACACTATAAGACATGATGAGAACCAGCCTGAAAAATTAACTTGCATCGGGTAGGGTGCCAGGGGAGGGAAGGGGGGACATCATATAGTATCTACAGAACAACACACCGGTTTAATCTTAAACTAGTCTAAAACCGGGGTTAGCTGAAGAGGTGCCAACACCCTTTGCAAAAACTCCGATTTCACTTGACCTGGTCAGAAAAAAATGGTTTTCACAGTTACATTGACAAAATCCACTCAGCCAGGATATTGCAGCATTTGACTTAAGTTGCTTCAACATGCTCCTTCAGTGAAAATGGTGCAAGTCTGGGTGCAGACAAGTCCTGTTTTCTGCTTAGATATATTCATTGAAAACAAAAAGGAAATCCACAGTTAAAAAAAAACCCAACAAAAAACTGCCTTTCAACTGAATACTGAGGGGTGTCGTCCCATCTTGGGTCATGCAGATTGTCACTCAAAGCTGCCACTTAACACAGAGTTCAGGAAAGACTTTGCAATCGGTTTGCAGAAGGAAGTGCTTATAGTTCTGACTTAGACAAATGACAGGTGTAGCAAACACCAAACTGCTAGTGAGAAATAAGTTAAAGGATGCTTGTAGGGAAAATCCCCAGGTAAAACCTCTTAGGATTTATAGGCCTAAAACAGCAAGGTTCTGTTCAAATCCTCTATAACAAAAAAACTGACCCCCCCCCCCC